TTATCCTTAACTTGGGATGCCATCCTCAGCTCCATGGTAGCTTTGGCCCGTCTAACTGCCTCCCTACAAGCGCAAGCAGAGGAGTTATACGCCTCTTTGGTGATCTCTCCCTGTTTCCACTTTTTATGTGCTCCCCTTTTGGCCTGTAGGCTGCCCTGGATTTCTCTGGTCAGCCAAGGAAGCCTCCTGGCCCCTTTCCCTTTTTTTCTGTGCATCGGGATCGTCTCCCTTTGTGCCCGAAGGATCATTTCCTTAAGGCACAGCCACCCTTCTTGAGCTCCCATCACTTCAAGACTCCTACTCTGTAGTGCGTCCTTGACTAATCGCCTGAGTTCATTGAAATCAGCTTTCCTAAAGTCTAGCACTTTCACCCTACTAGTTACCTTACCCACTCGACATCTTATGAAAAATTCTATTATTAGGTGATCACTGTCCCCCAGATGGCCACCGTTCTGTAGGTCCCCTACCATATCATCCCCCATTGCCAATACCAGATCCAGTAAGTCATTCCCCCGAGTGGGACCGTGTACCTCCTGCATCAGGTGGAGGTCCTGTACACAGGATAGGAACCTGCATGAACGGTGGGACTTTGCTATCTGCGTCTCCCAGCAGATGTCTGGGTAGTTTAGGTCCCCCATGACTACCGCCTCCTTAGCTTTTATGGTCTCCGAGAGCTGCCTCAGGAGCCCCAAATCTATTTCTTCCCCTTGATGTGGGGGTCTGTAGCAGACCCCTACCACCTAATCCCTTTCTCCTTGCCCCCCATGTAATCCCTTTCTCCTTGCCTCCTAGATGGGAGGTCTGAGTGTGTACTAAGGCCCTGGTGATCAGGAGGCTGAAGAAAATGGGTAGCCTCCCACCCTAGTAACAACTTTCATATTTTTTTCTATGAAGGCATGGCAAGACAGTGAGGTGAGAGGTTACCCCAGAGACAGGTGGGCAGCCGGTGGAGACCCAGTGAAGACGCCACCCTGTTAAACTGAGGTATGGAATGAAGAAGATAGCCTTTAAATTATTGTATGATGATGATGGGCAGAGGATGAGAAAGGGCATGTCAACACATGCTTTTACGTGCTCCTAAACATAATGCGCTTTAGCCTAATACACGTGAAGGCAATTTAGGCAAGTGCACATTAATGTATATTAACACAGGTGTGCAGACCAACTTAGGACTAAAGTTAGTCTCAAGTCAATGAATATACCATGTTAATATGCATTAGTGTGTGTCTACACATTAGTTAATGCAATTTAACTAATGCTCAAATAGTCTTAAATCACCATTTTCAAGATGTTTAAGGGTGTGCACATGTAGACACATGACCATAATGTGCCTTAAATTGTGTTAATGCACATTAAATGCATAGACATGCCCGAAGTGAATATACTATAGTAGAATTGTCCAAGATCTTAGCTGTCAAGTATGAATGAACAGATTTGCTTCAAAGATTACCAAATGAGTAACGGTTTAGATATGTACTGATCTGTTCCTGTTCTTATGCTTGAAGTCCAGCCTGGCTGAAATACATAGATCTACTGAAAGTATAATTCAGGGAGTTCTCAACCTTATGGCTCAAGGCACCTCTTGAAAAATGCTAGCTCTTAGATTTCACTCATTTCTTGACTACGGAAGAAAAATAGAGCAATTCTTCTTTTGCAAAGGACTCAGAATTTTTTTTTAATTGTTTGGATTCCTATTTGAAATCTCTGGGTTTATCTTGTGAATAATATGCAAGTCTTTGCATACCTAACATGGCTAATATTACATAGCACCTTGTGATACTCTAGTTGAGAATCACTGGCACGACTCAGCTGAAATGTCTGTACCTTTTGTACTTTGCAGCTCACAGCAGCACTCTCCCTCCACCCTGTGTTGTCCCAGCTAGAGGCAGGAGGAGTGGTGCCCAGTCCAGCTTTCCATCTCCCCCTGCCTCCAGCCACTGCACAGTAGCAGGCAAACCAGGCAGTATGGGTGTCTCTTCCTCTTTGCTGGACTGTGCCCTGTGCCCCTGCTTCTTCCTGTAGCAGTTGCACTGATTGTGGGGGAGGGAAGGGGCAAAATACAAATTTGCCCAGGGCACCACTTTCCCTAAGGCTGGCTCTGAATATGCTAGCTCTGTGTAAGGGACACCAGATAGAGAATGCATACCTATTTGACTGTTAACAACAAATATATTTAAGCATTAATAAAAAAGCAAGTCGACTTTTTTTTTAACCTCAAATGATAATTGTATAAAACAACAGTAAGACTGTACTTATAAGAACTAGAACTGAAATAATTTTGCAACTGGAAAGTCTCATTAGGAAGGGTATTTTTATTTACAAACAGGAACTCAGTCAGGATGTCATATCAATATTAGAGCTGTTTTGTAGCTTTTCTTACTGACCTTGTGAAAGGTCAGAGGATCGCCAAGTCTTGGCTATTTGTTATCTTAATGGACTTTTGTAAACAAGCAAAATGTCCTTTTTATGAAGCTTAGGCAAGAAATTTTAATAGGAATCTGCGTTTTGAACATGCGCCACATTTGTTGCGAATGAGGACTGTGTCTATAAGCAGAAAACCCAAAGGAGCACCCCAAGAATAAATTACACCTACCCTGTAACCCAGAGGCAGGCAATTATTTTGGGCAGAGAGCCACTTACCCAGTTTTGGCAAGCTGTTGAGGGCTGCATGGGTAGCCCTGCCATTTGACAGGTGCCCCACCCCTTTGTCACCATCTTGGGACCAATGTCTTGGGCCCAATGTCTCAGGGCCAGCACCAGTGGGGCCCAGAGCAGGGTGCAGGCTGGCAGGTCTGTGGAGCCAGGCTGGGCTGCACCAGCAGGGAGAGGGGGAAGCTGGCCCGTCTCCATAGGGGCCCTGCTAGCCCGGATCCCTGTACTCCTGCCACCCTGCTCTGGGCCCCGCCAGAACTGGCCCCAGAACACTGGTGTGGGCCCCATGCAACTGCTCACTCCCAGTGCCCATCAGCCCCACAGTACAGGTGGGGCGCAGCATGCAACCCTGACCCCCTGTGCTTGCCAGCAGGGAAGGAGCTGGAGCTGAGCATAGGGAAAAGTGGCCTTTCCCCTGCCCTGTGGCCTGGGCTCCCTGCTGGAGCTGCTTACAGCTCATGTGGGGCTGTCCTGAGCAGGCACAGGCAGTTTCATGCAGGCTGTGAGTGGCTGCAGCATGGGGCTCTGGGCACGGGATGGGCGAGGGGCCGCTTCTCCCCACTCTCAGCACCAGCTTGTAACCCACCCTCACTGCCAGGCTGGCACCGTGCTGGCTCCAGGCTTACCAATTGGGGCTGCACACGATGGCAGCAGCTGTAGGCCCTGCTCTTGCTGCACCAGGCAGTGTTTGCCACCGCCACATCTGGGCTGCCCAGTGTGCGAGCTCTGGGTGGGCAGCAGCAGCAGACACTGCCTGGTATCGCAAGGGGGGGGGGAGACACCACAGCTGTTTCTGCCATGCACCGCCCCAACAGGTTAACCCAGAGCTGGTGCAGGGCCCAGGCTGGCTGTGGGGGTGGGTTACAAGCTGGTGCTGGGCATGGGAAAAGCAGACCCTCACCTGCCCTGTGGCCAGCACCCCAAACTGCAGCTGCTCATAGGCAGCTCCATGCAGGCTGTGCCTGCTCAGGACAGTCCTGAGTGGGCTGCGAGTGGCTGCAGCAGGGAGCACCAGTCACAGGGCAGGGGAGGGGCTGGTTTTCCCCGGGCTCCCTCCCTGGCCGCCTCCCCCCCCCCCCCCCCCCCCCGCCTGAGTTTCCAGTGCTGGTGCTGCCACATGGTCCCAGGCAGAAGCACCTGCTGGGGTTTCCTGCTGCGGGGGGGAGCGCTGCTGGGCTTCCCCTGGGTCCTACTGTCCCTAGTTCCTGTCATTTTTTTACAGGAACCAAAGACAAATAAATATTAATTTTCTAAATTTTTTTAGGGGCCTCACAGGCCAGACAGAATGGCCTCACAGGCCAGATCCAGCCTGTGGGCCATATTTTGCCCACCCCTGCTGTAACCCATATGTGTCAAACATAAGGCCCATAGACCAGATACAGCTTGTGGAGCTGTATGACTTGGCCCTTGGGTCTCAGACTGACCCCACATGCTGCAAGTGGCATGCAGAGCCATTCTGGTATGTACCATGTGGCATAGGGGGTTGATCTGCAGCACAAGCTGCCTGTGGCACCCGCACTGTACCAATCCTGCACACTTGCTTCATGTACAGTCCTACTGGGTTGTGCCACAGCCAGCTCACAGGGCTGTTCAGCAGTGTGGCCCATTCAGCTCACACCCCATGTTGGCCATCTGCCTCAAGCAGCATACCAAGTCCAGTCTGTGTGTGACATCTACTATGTGCTGGCCCTTTTCTGAGGTTTGTGATCTCTGCAGCATACAGGCTGGACTTGGTGTCAGGAGTGCTGCCACAGCATTGTGCTGCATGTGGTGCTCTGCTGACCAGTTCTGCACACTGGCTTCATGGGCAGCATTCACAGCACCAAGTCTAGCCTGTACAGCACTTGAAGGACAGAAACTGGAGTGGGGTTGGCAAATGCTGTTTGTAGCCCAGGGTGCAGGCATGGGGGGCACACTGAATACAGTGCTCCACTGGACCAGCCCTGTGCACTTGCTCCAGTGTGACTGGGTCTGACCTGCAGACTGGCCCAGAGAATCTCACCTGGTCTGCAAAGCTAGATGAGTTTAACACCCCAGATATAACCCTTATTACTTATGAGGAATATCAGTATTCACAGACAGAGTGCATAAAAAAAAAAAAAAGAGCAAACATTGTGACTAGCAGAACATATTGTTGTCCAAAGATAAGTGGCAGAAATTGTCCTGTTTTTTTGGCTAAAACTTCTGTATTTGTTGATGGTCATTTTCATTCCTTACATAGAAGCGGCATTACACGCAGATACAGATTGCAGCACACCTCCTAGTGTTACATTGAATTTCATTAGAAAGAGGCAATGATTAATTTTCAAAATGATATTTCAAACAAATGATTGTATTTTATGTCAGCCTTTAAACTTCTTTTATCAAAAGCATGTTAGCAGCTGGAAGGTTAAAATGTATTCTAAGATTTTCCTTAAATATATTCTCTCCTCTACTGTGATACAAGGAGATTGTAGACATTTGATCATTTCAAAGGAGTTTCGAAAGAAACCTCGATGGCAGTTTTGAAGCTGTGTATTTATATGTTATCATCTAATACAAGTAGCTAGATCAGAATGTAATATTTGTGTCATCACTGGATATGAAAATGACTGTTAGTAAAATAAGATTTTATGTTTGCTACTGCCTTTATGTGTTAGATTTAGAGAATACCAGCTGAGGACAGCTGCACTGAGAGAGCAGTGAGCCCTCGCATCTAGATCCTGTCCTTGCTATCATATACTAACTGATCTGACATGCTATGAAACTAGGGCCTTTGCCCTTTTAGTATGTCTGATTTAGCTTCTCTATTGAAAATGTTAAGCCAATGAGACCATCTCTGAACTTTGTTATACCAGTCTAATTCCAGAAAACTCTGGTGAAGTAGAGTTTAGTAGAATTATTTTGCATTTAGAGTGAAATGGAAATCTGATTCAGTAACTGTAAATTCTACATCTGCCAAGAATCAATGTACAACTTCCATTAAAAATAAAATAGCTGTGGTCAGTAGCACAAACTGCTCTGATAACTGGCTAGAAATGGGATATTAATAGATGAGTGGTATGATGAAAAAATATATTGTGTATACTTCAGTTTTTTGGAAGACAATACGTTGTTTACTAGTGTAACTCCACACGGTAAAAAATGGTAAAGAAATTCATGGAAAAAATTGAAAATTCATACAAACTTGGTGTGTCTACATAAGATGCTTAATGTGCAGTAGCTTGCTTGACAAAAACCCTGCAAATACACTACTACATAGTAGTATTAGGCTACTGCACAGTAATCATCACTTAAAAGCTGTGCACCAGTGCTAACTGTGCAGTAACTACGTTTACTGTGCATTTAGTTAGTACTTCATTAAGCAAGTACTAAACTAAATGTACAGTAACTACTGCACAATAATGAACATGTAGATGTGCCCACTGATTATGGAAGAAAATGATCAGGTTCTATAGCTTTGATTATTCCGAAGGACCCAACTTCTGTGTTTTGCTCCTCAGTTAATATGCGTTAAACTACCTACTCTCAGTGTTTTCTGATATTGCTTGAGTGGGCTTGAAAAATGAAACTGCTTGTTGGAAAGCTGACACTGGTGACCTCTCTCTCTCTCTTTTTTTTTTGCCATCGTTAGGACTGCATACACTTTAGCAATTCACAGCAGAAACATCTATATGAGGTGCTTTACTGCACAGTAGAGCAGTTTACTGCACAATAACTATGTGCATGTAAAAAAATGCATGGTTACTGCGCAGTAAATGCTCTACCCTTGATTAAATTTGCTACCTGCAAATGCAAGTGGCAAATTTACTCGCAAGTAGTTATTGCACAGTAGAGCACAAGTAGATGCCAACTGGGAGCAAATTTGCTCTCAGGCATCCCTGCCACTAGGGGGCCAGTCTCAGACTAGCCCCAGGGCCTAAGGCTGGGATGACTCCATGGCAGCCCAAGCCCAATGCCCTTAAAAGCCTATAGGCACTGTGAGCCCTGGGGAACTTGCAGGCATCCTGTGGCCACACCTGGCCATTTCATCCCCCTGCACAGGCTTCAGACCAGCTCTGCCAGCCTACCTGCACTCTGGCACCACTCCCTGGCAGTGCAGTGCTAGGAAGTTGCCAGGGCTGTGCCATCCAGCCCTGTAGGGTGTCGGCACCTGGGCCCAGCTGCAGCCAACTTGTAGCCACTAGGGCCAGCACCAGATGAATGTAGGCAACTTTCAGCACCCTGCCTGGATCCTGAAGGTGCTGTGTGGCACTGCCTTCCTGCATGGCTGCTAGTCTCATGCCCTGATCCTGTGCTTGGTGTTATAGGAAGCTTCTCAGACCCAGCAGCATCTGAACAGTCACTCAGAGGCCCAGAGAGCCGTCATGGGAGTCATGATGGTGTCCTTCCTGATGCCACATGCCACCTCATGAGGTTTCAACTGGTTGCAGGAGGAGACTAGGGACCTTGTGGCACTGTGGGGCAAGGCTGAGGTGCAGAGCCAAAGCGCACGGGGAGGTGGGAGACCATGCAAAATTGTATTTATCAGTCTGTGCCCCTGCGCTAGGCAGGCATAGGCCTCTATCATGCCAGTGGCAATGTCCTTCTTGGCAGTAGGGGGTCAGAGATTTTTAGCACAGCCACAGGTAGCCCTCCAGGCACTTGAGGACATTGTAGGGCAGCATGGGCTTGCCCACTGCACTGTCAAAGCTCATGGTCTCATGCCAGGCATGGAGATGTACCCAGGGCAGCATGGCCATCAGCAGCAGCAGGGTGTAGTGGTTCAGGCACCCCTCGGTTCACACAAACAGCTCCTCGCAATGCAGGGGCACATTTGGGGCATGGAGTGGCCATGGGGGTGGCTTTGGAGTGGCCATGCAGGGAGGGCAGGGGCATGGCCAGCTCTGCATCTCAGTCATCCAGGATCCCCATGTCCCCCAAGCCCAGGTGCCATGGGTTTGGCAGCAGCACAGGAGACAGACTGACTTTCAGGAGGAGAAGAATGGGGTGGGGGTCTAGAGTCTTGCCTGTCCTGGCCTGGGAATGGGGTGGAGGAGGCAGGCTTTCTGTGGCCAGCACCCAGCAACTCATTGGCCCCTAGGAAGTCAGTAAGGATGGGGGGGGGCATGCCTCGACTGGTGGTCATCTGGATCAGGCCTGCCCACCCAACTTGCCATTGTTCAAGGGCACCTGTACACACATGAGCTCTGATCTGAGACCAGACCATGCACAGTCTCCTGGTACAGAGCATCTTATCTCAGAAATGTTGAAAACTGACAAACAGCTTTATTTCTGATGGCTCTGTAGGTCCTACATCTGCATGCTGGGGACAGCCCCACAGCTCATCCGAGTTCCACACAGCCATGGAGCAGGAACTGCCTGCAGCAGAGCTAGGACTGTGTGCTGGTCCTGCTGGCTGTGGCCACTAGCTGCAAGATGGGGGAGCCACCAGCAACTTAGATCAGCAGCCACTATTGCCCTTGGGCAAGCCCCCAGGTGCTGGATTTGCTGAGGCATGTGTACCTGTGGGGGAATGGCCAGAGGCTGGGGTGCTGACCACTTGTCCCTGGGCTCCACCTGCTAGGCACCCGCACTCCAAGGCCCCCCACCCTGGGAATGGCACACACAGAATCACAGCATGTATAAATAGTTCACATGGGGAAGCGGGTATTTAATTGGTGGTGGATAGAGTGGGTGGTGGAGGGGCTCTGTTGTCGGAGATGGAGCAGGGAGGAGGATCTGTTTGTGTAGGGCAGTAAAGTATTTTTCAGAGACCTGTCCATGGTGAGCATGGTGCTGGGGGTGGGTAGTGGGCAGGGGGTCTGTGGGCAGCTGTGCAGGTGGGCTACAGTGGGGAGTGGAGGAGAAGGTGGTCAGCCAGTGCCTCTCGCACCCAATGCCCTGGCCCCCTCTGGCAGGTGTGCAGCTTTCCCAGGGCTTCAGCAGGGTGGAGGGGCTGCCACTCCACTGCTGCTGCAGCTGGTACTCTGGGACACTGCCAGGCATCCTCCAACTGCTGTTCCTTCTCTGCCTAGGCCTTGCAAAAGAGCTTCCCTCAGGCCTCACAGAGTTTATGCAGAACAAAAGCTGTGAATATGACCCAGGGGATGTTGGCTTCAGAGAACTTGAGATGGGTGGTGTGGGTGCACCAGCCTTCCTTCAGCTGGCCAAAGGTGTACTTCATGAGCGTGTGGGTCTAGCCCAAGCACCTGTTGAAGTGGGACTGGTGGGGGTCCAGGTGGCTGGTGTAGGGCTACATGAGCCAGGAGAGAAGTGGATAGGTGGGGTCCCTGATGAGGAGGGGCAGGACATCCACGATGCCCAGCTGGAGGCCTGGCAACCCTGACATGAAGCTCCCACTCTGCACTAGGGCTGGTAGGATAGAGTTCTGGAAGATGCAGGCATTGTGGTTACTGCCAGCCCAGTTGGCACTCATGGTGAAGGCACTGCAGTGGTCAGTGATGGCCTGGAGCATGACAGAGTGGAAGGCCTACTGGCTGTAGTAGAGGTGGTTGCCATGGGGTAGACAGGTGATGGAAATCTGGGTCCTATCCAGAGCCCCAGTGCATTGGGGGAATCCCAGGGTGAAGAACCGCACCACCACCGCCAAGGGGGTCATGCACATGGACCACTGTCTGCCCAAGCATGTCCTGCGGAGCACCACAAACCTCTAGGATGGCACCCATTGTGTTAGCTTTGCCCATGCCAAAGAGGTGGCTGACATAATGAAGACTGGTGGTTGTGGTCTGCTAGAGCAGGAGACTGGCCAGCCAGGTGTCTGTGGGGGAGAAGCAGCTTCATGGTGGTGTCCTGCCACTCCAGGTTCAGTGGAGCTGCTCCAGGAGGTCCAGGAAGGTGGAATTGGGCTAAATCTCTGCTCAATCGAACCAGGGACTGGAGTTTCACAACGCCCTAATAGGTACCTCATTTTTCTATTAATGGCTGATTGTCATAATTTTAAAATTATTAAATGTATTACTGTCTCCTAATTGTGGTTGTCAACTGGCTGTACATAAGGACACTTGTAATGTAAACTTTTGGTTGCTGACAGGTGCATCTTTTTGCATGTGATCACTTTATCTCTTTGTTGGTTTTTTTTTTAATCCTTTCAGATTGGGAGCTTTCAGAATCAGTGACTGGAATACAGGTGCAGATCATAAGCAGAAGTAAATCATCAATTTCAAATGACACCTGAACGAGAGATGGCCTTTCACTTTTGCATGCCGGGATGTAAAGATTATTTTGTATACTCAAGTTTTGTAACTGAGGAAAATATTAAGTGTGGCCATTCTAATACATTGCAGTGAAAATACAGCACCTGACAATAAAAGCAATAAAACATTTAATAGAATCCCTATGCCCACAGGAAAGAAATTAACAGCTGTATTTCTGGACTGCTGAGAATAAAAGACAAATATCAAACGGATGTTATTTCAGTAGAACAGGTATGAAGATATGTAATCAGCAGATATATGGAAGGTTGTATACTGATACTCTTAAAAAAAACAAAAAGTGTAAGAAACCTGAGCATGATTATACAAATAACACATCTAACAATATGTCATTGCCTCAGTCAGAGCCTCAGCCAATCTTCTCTCATAATTTTCTTGTTCTTTTTTTAATAATGACAAAGAATTCCCACGCTTCCTCAATTCATCCCCCCAGTCCTTTCTCCTTAATATAATTCCTTAAATCCAGCCAAGCTGGATTTTTCCAGACAGGGATAGAATTTAAGAACTATGTTACCAAGGACATTTCTGAAAAGGAATTTGAAAAGGAGCCCTGGACTTGTGCTGGGATGCATCTGCTGAGAGAATGCAGCATGGCACTGCCTGTGAACACAGCTATACCACTTCTGGGTTGGGAGAGAAACAAAAGTAATATAGCAAATTCATGGAAGGTTTCATGTGAGACAACTAATTAGCTCTACTCCTCAGCACGAATTCAGAGACAGAAATAATAGTTAAATTCATATGATGTCTGCAGTACCACATTATGGCACCTATAGTAAGTAACTAGAAGCTGTGTAGGCTATTTCCAGTTCTAGGTATCTGGAATCATTTTGGACTGAGTCCCTGTTTTTGTTGCCTAAAATTGGTTCTTTTACTCCTCTCTCTCTCTATATTAATTCACAAGTTCCAGGAGCATTCACAAGTGTTCCTTTCTGTCGCTGGGTGACTAATTTACTGCACAATAAAGTGTCACTATGTAACCATAAACAGGTTTTCTATTATGTGTAAATACAGGTGGTAGCTACTGTCTGGGGACAGTGTCACAGCCCCAACTACAATCTCAGAGTTAGGAGCCACCAGCTTCTCCATGCCCCAGAGCCCAGGCCTGACCCTGGTGCCCTCTGCCAGCCTGGGGCTGGCACCCAGGGGATCCTAGAGCTCCCTCTGGCTGTCATATAGTATAGCTGGACAGGAGTATCCTGGCCCTGAACTGCTCCCATCGGGAGCAAATTTGCTCCCGATGGGTACATGTGTAGATGTGCACTCAGGGAAATCTTACTGTACAGTATGTTACTGAGTAATAAGCTTTCTGAGCAGTAATTGCATGTGTAGCTGTGCCCGCTGGCTGTGTCTACACAAGACGACGACTGTACAGTTGTTACTACACAGTCCACAGTCATTTAGTACTTGCATAAACAAGTATTAAATGACTGTGCAGTAACTAACATTACTGCACATTTGCATCCGTGAATGGCTTTTTGGTGATGCTTACTGCACAGTTGCTCATTAATACTGCAGAGTATCCCTGCGTCACACTTCATGTCATGTGATTTTACTGTGCAGTAGTAACAACCTACTGTGCAGTCAGCATTTTGTGTAGACCCGGCTACTGTGTAGTAGTTTTGCTCTTCTGGTGCAAGAGATTTACTCCTGCTGAGAATCTGAGATCCAAGAGTTCCCAAGCACTTCAGGAGTTTGCAGACACTACTGTGATCAATTACTTAGAATTCACACAAAGAAGTAAAGATGACCAGTCTCAAGGGGGAAAATAATGGCCATACTTGCATAGCAAATAATGTTTGATATTAGATAAGAGCAGAGTCATGTGCTTAGTCGTGTTTGTGCTCCTTGTGCTGCTCAGTGTGAACAGTTTGTAAACTATCTTTCATGAGGCAGCTGAGGACCTTCCAGGTAGTATATTACTGCCTTAAGCAGCTACATATCCACATGCCTTTCCTCTGTTAATTAGCCAAACCATTTTGGGGATGTGGGTTGCATTTTTCATTAGAGAGAATGTTTTTCTGGCACATCACGTCTCAGAAATAGTTTAATCTAGAACTTTCAAGTGCTTTACTATTGACAAATAGTGCCTATTGCTAACCTCCAGGCACAGTTCTAAGTTCAACCTATGAACTTTTTAAAAGTCTGAAATATTGGTCAACATGGAGAGGCTTACAGATGGGCTAATGGACTTTCATTGGTTTCAATAATGTATCTCCTTCCAAACCACACAAGGACCCCAGGGATCATAGGGAGCCATGTTTAGGCTTTATATACATAAGGTATATAAATGAGGGAAAACCTTGAATGATCATTGAAATCTTGCAGACCACAAATATTAAACAGCCAGGAAATTATAAGTTAAAGTATTTATTTGTAATATAGGGTCTCTCCTCTCCCTCTGTGCCAAATTATTTCAATGTGAATGTAATGCGTGTAACAGCAGGCAGAACCAAGGGACAGTCTGTGGAGGCTGGGAGGCAAGGGGCAAAGGAAGAGGAAGCTTGAAGGAGGAGTAAGGAGAAGAGCTGTATGCATGTGGAACCTGGTCAGCCCTACACAGAGGAGTGCACAGTGGAGCTGGCGTTCTCACTGGCTGAGTCATTCAGGAACGTAGGCTGAAGGAGCTGGACTCAGACTTGGGGGCAACTGCAGGCTGCTGTTTGAGTGCTCTAGAAACTAGACGCTTGTCTGGGGACACCTCCAGATGTGCTGTGGGGAGGGGACTAAGGTGCTGAGTATATGTTACCACACTGTTGGTTTTTCTTTACCTTTTACCTGTTCCCTCCCTTTGGCCCATTGGCTTGTGATCTATGATTTTATATATAAAAGTGGGAATTCCCCCTTGCTTCTTGTGCCAGTTTCTGGGACTGCAAGGTTGGCACACTGTTCCATACCATATATGGGAAGTTTACATATGATATATTCTCTAGGGGTGCATCTACACATGCAATTAATGTGACTGAATAAACTCTGGTGCAATTGGATCCAGAGTAAACTAATTTGAACTACACCATCTACGCACGCACTTAAAAGTAATAATTTACTTTGCTGTCAGATAGTACCTGTGTCTGACGGGATTATCTGATGACACTGTAAATTAGTTTACACCAGCCCAATTGCTGTGCATGTGTAGATGGTGACACTTTACTACTCAGTAAATTAGTCTACTGCACACTGGTCATATCTACACAAGATGCTTCACTGCACAGTAGTGTAGTTTACTGCACACTAAGCATGTGTGTCTACACCGTTACATGCTTACTACGCAGTAAACCTCACTAATCATGAGTAAATTTGCTATCTCCAAATGCAAATAGCAAATTTACTTTTGATTAGTAACAATGCAGTAGCACGTGTAGACGACTGATCAGAAGCAAATTTACTCCTGCTCAGCCATCCACCAGGGGCTGGGAGATTGCTCCCTGCCCCTGGGAGCTGCCTGCTCTGAGATCATGATGGGGACTTGGGGCTGGGAAATCCTTGTTTCCCAACACCAGAGCCATGGTTGTGGGGCCAGTGCTGGGAGATCTTTATCTCCCAGCCTGAGCTCCACAGCATCAGTGTTGGTGCTGGGATATAAGGGTCTCTCAGCACCAGCTCCACAGTTGTGGAACTAGTTCTGGGAGATAAGGGTCTCCCAGTGCTGGCCCCACAGTCATGGAGCTGACTGGGAAAAAAGGATCTCTCATCACTGGCCCCACAGAGCTGGCACTGGGAGATGAGGGTCTCCCAGCACCCTCTCAGCTCCATGGGCATTGAGCTGGTGCTGGGAGCTCCCTGTTGGCAGGGGATGGGGAGCCTGTTCCCCACCCAGCTCCATGAGTGTGGAGCTGGGTGGGGAACAAGCTGGAGAGTTTATTTCCTGTTCATCTCTGCTCCCCAGCTTATTCCCCAGCTCTGCACTCACAGAAGTCCCAGCCCCATGCCCTGATCAAGTGATCAAGGCATGGGTCTTGGAAAGAGCTGCATGGGTGGTGCAGGTCCCAGCTCCCTGCCCTGATCTGCCAGTAGGGCAGCTAGAAGCAAGCTAGCAGCTAGCAGCTGCACCAGTGCATCAGGGCAGGGGGCTAGGACCTGCCCTTCTTCTGCAGCTCTTTCCAAGTCCCCTGCCCCTGATTGTCCCCACCCCAGCAGCAGGCAGCCCCCAGGGGCAGGGTGCAATGTTCCAGCCCTGCTCTGGAGACACCTGTCTTCTAGCCCAGAGTTCCCTCCCTCTTAGGAGCCTAGAGCTCCCTCTGGTGGTAGCCATGGCCCTTTGCAAGGACCTAGGTACTGGGAGCAGTTTGCTGCCATTAGCAGCATATCTGTTCCTGCTTCTGTGAATGTGTAGACACCTGCCCGGGGGAGTTTACTCATGAGTAGTTTACTCATGGGTAAACTAATCCCAGATCAAATGCATGTGTAGACACACCCAGTAAAGCACATGTAAAGCATCTGCCCTAGAATAGTTTAAATAGAGATGAGAGAACTATATTAAAAACATTTTAAACTTCCATCACTTTCTATTTGTTGAACTGAAGAATAACTCTGCAAAACATTTCATTTTTCCATATCATTATTTTTTTCATATTCTACAATCTGCAGTTCTAGCAGGCATTAGGATGAAATGTGATCAAAATTGTGCAAGAAATACTATTTTTGCTGTATTACATTCCACATGAATGCAGAGTATAACGTAGCCCTCAAAATATTTAAGGACTTGATTAATTTTAGGCACATAAACAATCTTAAAAAAAAAAATTAGTAGGAATCAGTCAGATACTTAATGCTAAGCATATTTTTGTTTATCAGGGACTTATAGAAGCCTAAAGCCTGCTCTAAGTTATACTAATTAGAATACTCCCTAGGAGAAAACACTGTCAGTGGGTGCATGTACATGTGTGGTTTAATATGCAGTAACCTATTTTACTGCTCATTAAAGTGTTGCATAAAAAAATGTGATATTATACGAAGGTGCAGTAAAATAACCTACTACACATTGTCATTAAATGAGCATGCACTTTAATTACTGTGCATTAGGGCAACCTACCTTACATTGGAGGTACTAAATTTAATGTGCATTAGGAAAAGAGCATCAATGCACATGTAGACATGCCCAGCATGTTTTAATTTTAGACTCCTTA